AGGGAGGAGGAGGAGGAGGAGGAGGAGGAGGAGGAGGAGGAGGAGGAGAAGAAGGAGGAGGAGGAGGAGGGGAGGAGGAACGAGGAGGAGGAGGAGGGGAGGAAGGAGGAAGGAGGAGGTAAGAGGGGAAAGGAGGAGAAAGGAGGGGAGGAAGGAGGAGGGGGGAGGAGGAGGAGGACGAGGAGGAGGAGGAGGAGGAGGAGGAGGGAGGACGAGGAGGAGGGGGGAGGAGGAGAGAGGGAGGAGGAGGAGGAGGAGGAGGAGGTAGGAGGAGGAGGGAGGAGGAGGAGGAGGGGAGGAAGGAGGAGGAGGAGGGGAAGGAGGACGAGGAGGAGGAGGAGGAGGAAGGAGGAGGATGGGAAGGAGGAGGAGGCGGAGGAGGAGGAGGGGAGGAGGGGGGGGGAGAAGGACGAGGACGAGGAGGTGAGGAGGAGGAGGAGGAGGAGGAGGGAAGGAGGAGGAGGAGGAGGAGGAGGAGGAGGAAGGAGGAGGATGGGAAGGAGGAGGAGGAGGAAGATGGGAAGGAGGAGGAGGGGGAGGAGAAGGAGGACGAGGACGAGGAGGAGGAGGAGGAGGAGGAGGAGGAGGAGGAGGAGGAGGAGGAGGAGGAGGAGGAGGAGGAGGAGGGGTTCTTGTTTAGGCTTGTTCGTAGACGCACCTTCCTGCAACTGCTGCCTGCCCAACTACTCGGCGCCCTGGCGCGCTCCTCTACGTTTTCCAGATTCCTTCGCCGTTCGCCGCCCAGCACCAGCTCGCAGCCGTGTCCCTTCGTTTTCTCGTCACTGAGGCCTCTCGGCCTCGTCCTCGTCCTCCAGACAGTCGGCCGCGAACGGCCCCCCGGGCCGGAAACGGAAGTCAGCGGCGGAGAACTGGATTGGACCCCAGCGCGAAGGAAGGCTTCCACCGTGAGGGAGGGGGGGGGGGCGAGACGGGGGATGCCCACCATAGTATGGGCGCTTTCTCACGTGCTGTGCTGGGGGAGGGTGGAGAGGGGGCGAGGCAGAGGCTTCCACTGTGGGGGAGGGGGGCGACGCGGGGGGATGCCTCAGCCCACCGCGGTATGAACGCGTTTTCACGTATGGAGGCTCCGAGAAGGTGCACGGGACCCGAGACGGAGAAGCAGAGAGAAGAGAACCCCCAGGGAGGCGGAAGAGGCAGAGCCGCTGGCCCGAGCGAGGGCCCGGGCGGCGCCAACGACCCCGATGCCGACGCCCCAAAAAGCACAGCCCAGCCGCCGCTGCCTTGGGCAGTGGCTGCTCCGCTTCTGCCGCCCCCCACGACCAGGCCCGCCCGTCGCCCCACCCCCTGTGTCTGAGCATGTTCTTGGGGCGGAGGGCTCGGGGTGAGATCCATCTGGGCTTTTGCACCTCGAAAATCAATCCGTCTTGGGATTCACCTTCGGCAAATTCAAGCCTCGAAAATCCATCGAAACGGCATTCCAGATTTCACCCTTTGGCCAGCACTCAGAGAAAATGCTCGGTGTGTTCCAGGAGCATCCCCCGCCGAGTGGGGGCTGGGGGATGCCCAAGTCGGTTGTGCACTCTTCTTGCTCAGCCTATGGCCATCATCAGACGCGGCGCTCACAGTCAAGCAACGTTAACTCAACGCAAAAGGAGGAGGAGGAGGAAGATGAGGAGGGAGAGGAGGAGGAGGAGGAGGAGGAGGAGGAGGAATGGGGGGAATGGGGGAATGAAGGGGGGAGGAAGGGGGGGGAAAGGACGAGGAGGAGGGAGAAGCAGGACAGCACAACCCACCCCGAGCCCCAGCCAGGACCCCACTCCCAACCTACCTGGTGATCCAGGAGGTCCTGGCTGGGGATGCAAAGTGATGTTCTGACCCCCAGAGGCCCCAAGAAGCAAACCCCCACCCCCAGCGAGGAATTCCTGGATCACCAGGTCGGGAACACAGTCAATCCGTAGAATAAGGACGACGCACGATGAGGATGAAAGGGCGTTGAAAATCAGAACGACACTTTTCGAGTGGGGCTGGCCAGCGAAATGTACCAAGCATGGGCCGAAGGGGAAGGATGTGAGGGTAACCTTGGAAAGTTGCTCATGCCTACTACGCGGGTGGACTGTCGGGGTCCTGCCTGGGGGTGGGAGTGGCCTGTGCTGTCCGCAAGAGAAGGGCGGGGAGCCGGAGGTGGAGCCTCCCGGCCAGCCGGCGCGAGGGAGCTCCGGCTGAGCTCCAGGCCCACTCGCCGAAGAATCGGCGCCCGTCGCTCCACGTGTATTGGCCAGTCCCGTGGATGTCGTTGTCTTGGAAGTCGCCCTGCAGGGCGACGTACGACGGCGACGTGGACGACGGCGACGAGGACGAGGACGAGGACGATCACGACGACGATCACGACGACGAGGACGAGGACGAGGACCAGGACAATGACGACGACGACGACGACGGAGACGACGACGACGATGACGACCACGACGACCACGACGACCACGAACGCGGCGGCGGCTGTGACGACGACGGCAACGACGACGACGACGAGGACGACGACGACGACGACGACGACGACGAGGACAATGACGACAACGACGACGGCGAGGACAATGACGACGACGACGACGACGACGACGACGACGGCGACGGCGACGGCGACGGCGACGGCGACGGCGACGGCGACGGCGACGGCGACGGCGATGGCGACGGCGACGGCGACGGCGACGGCGACGGGGACGACCACGGCCACGACCACGGAGAACGGGAGGAGGACGAAGACGAGGACCCAGAGTTCCGAAGATACGTAACACACCGCACTTGGGGATAAGAGCGCGGAGGCGGGGGCGCGGGCGACAGCGTTGCCCCCACCCATTGCCCCCAAGTGTTGCGCTCCCATGTACTGCCCCCATGTAGTGCCCCCATGTACTGCCCCCAAGTATCGCCCCCATGTATTGCCCCAATGTGTTGCCCCCATGTGTTGCCCCCAAGTATCGCCCCAATGGACCGCTCCCACGTGTTGCCCCCACGGCTCGCCCTCACGTATTGCCCCCATGTGACCCCTCCTGTACTGCCCCCACGTACTGCCCCCATGGATCACCCCCACATGTTGTCCAAGGGTACTACCCTCCAAGTATCGCCCCCTGCCCCCAAATGTCGCCCCCATGTGTTGCACCCAAGTATCGCCCCCGGAGACGGAGCCATCCATCCAGCCACGCGAGCGCAGGGAAGAAATAAGACCGTTCGGGTCATATCGGCCTCCGCGGGCCGTTTGTCGGGCACCAGGACCACCCGAACCGGATCCAGGTCGAAAAAATGGCTGCGCGGACGGGTCGGGACCTCTGGGGCCGCGCATGGAAAACATCAGATAGGCGGCTGTCAGGGCAGGAGGACGAGGACAAGGACGGCGGCCGAAGACGAAGGGCCCCCGCTGAATCCCAGACGCCTCCGCACACTCTGCCCCAACCCGCCTGGTCCGCCCTCCTCCCGCCGCGCGCCAAGCCAGCAGGCCGACGCCTGCCAGCGACTCACCCCTGCGCCCTGCCCCTCCCCTCCTGCTGCCACCGGCCGCGCGCGCCCCCTCCCCTCGCCGAAGCCCGCGCGGGGCCGCCGCCGGAGCGGCGGCGGGGGCCACGCGCAGGAGTGGCCCCATGGGCACCCGGAGCCTTCGCGAGTGCCCGTCGGCTCCCGGAGGGGGCCCGGCCCCAGGGGATGCAGCCCCGCGGGCGTGGCCTGTGGCGTGGGGCTCGCCGGCCGCTGCGTGCGATGCGGCAGTGGCGGGCGGCCGCCTGCTCACTCGGGCGCCCCCCCCCTGCCCGCCAGCCCCCCCGAAGACCGCCACCAGAGGTCCATCCAGCGAGGGGCCGCTCGGCTTCTCGGGTCTGCGGCGGCCGCTCGGCACGCTCTGGGCACCAACCCGGGGACGCCGCCGCCGCCGAGGCGCAGCTGCCGGAGAGCATCCCGAGGCTGGACGGCCTCCGAGAACCGACGAGCACGCCGACTGGGGCCCCCACGTCTCCGGCCTCGGCTCGGGTGCAGATGCGCGCGGGGACGGCGGGGCCTTGCCCTCCCTCCTCCTGCTCCTCGTCCTCGTCGTCTTCGTAGTCGACGTCTCCAGCTCGGCTCGAGCGCAAATGCGCGCGGGAATGGCACGCCCGACGTGGGTTATGGGATATCAGCCCAGCGAAGGACCCAAATGCAGCTGCGAGTACACCTTATGCGATGCTTAAGAAAACCTAAGTTTTCGGCCAGAGTCTCGATTATTCTTAACGTTTCAATGTAAATCCCAAGATTTTGATAGAAGTTCTGGGTTTTATTCAATTTCTGAGACTATGAATTTCTTAACCCATGATTTCTTAAGCATTTCGCAGGGTGTACCGCAAGACAGGCGGAGACTAAGGGAAGGGGCGGGCAAAATGACTAGGGCGTGCGTGCGAAGGACGGGGCGACGTTGCTGATGGGGTCACAGAGGTCGGCTTTCACGGGTTGCATCTGGAAGTAATCCCTTACGGCAGATCTACGCGTTTGTCGGCGCGGCCCTGGGAAGCAGCAGGCGGCGGGGCATTCAGTGGAGCCACTGTCTTTGGGGGCTACAAAACGTGTGAGGAGTGTGCCGATATGGGCGCAGTCACGCATGCGAGTCCTGCCACAGAGCACTTCGGTGGATCTCCCTGTTTACGGGACCACGACAAGTGCGAGGGGTGTGCCGAATCATGTGCGGGTGCGTCATGCGGACTTTGCCACTGGGGCCTTCGGCGCAGCTCCCTATGGGGCCACGGAACGCGAAGGGCGTGCCGAATCGGGTGCGGGTGCGCCAATCTGACTTTGCCACTGGGGCCTTCGGCGCAGCCCCCTGTCACAGGGGGCCTGTGGGGCCACGAGACGTGTGCGGGGTGTGCCGAATCGGGCGCGGGGGTGCGCCGTGCGGGCTCTGCCACGGGGGCCTGCGGTGGAGCCCCCATGCGACCACACGAAACGTGCGAGGGGTGCGCAGGCGTGATGTGGAGAAGGCACTCGAACGCAGCCACTGGGGCCTCAGGGTGGGAGGAGGAGGAGGAGGAGGAGGAGGAGGAGGAGGAGGAGGAGGAGGAGGAAGGAGGAGGCCGCAGGCGAAGCGAGCTCCCCCGCGGGGCCGCGAGACGAGCGAGGGGCGGCGCGCCGAAGTGGCGTCGAGAAGGCAGTCGGCTGCAGCCACTGGGGCCCCAGGCGGAGGCCCCAAGGGAGCTGCGAGACGCGCGGGGCGCGGGCAGGCACCGTGCGGAGAAGGCGTGCAGCACACGGCCGTCGGTGGAGCTCCCCAGACGGCTACGAGACGTGTGGGGCGTGCGCCGAAATGGTGTAGAGGAAGCATGCGAGGCTCCAGGTGGAACTCCTTTGCGGGGCCACGAAACGTGCGCGGGCTGGGCCGAAACATAGCCACGTGAAGGGCAGGAGCAGGGATGGGAGCGGGGGCAGGGCAGCGGAAGGAAAGGAGACGCGGGGCGCTGTCTCTTCAAGACGAGGACCCAACACCACAGGATGGTTGGGGAAAAACGGATACGCTGCCCGATGGCAAAGGCTGCCCACAACCGACGGCGAGGCCTCTTCACAACGTGCAGGACGTGATGCCAGTCTCACGTGCTCCTCGTTCTTGCCGCACCAAGGATTGCAAAAAAAAAACGAAGGATTGCAAAAAAAAAAAAAAAAAAAAAAAAAAAAATCCTTTTTTTGGTTTGGTTTTTTTGCAATCCAAGGTTTTTTTTGTTTGCAAACCTTTTTGCAATCCTTTTTGTTTGCAATCCTTCGCTCTATCGTGCCCATGCGACAGCGGGGCCGCGCGGAGACGCGCGCGCGCGCGCTGCTGGCTCGCCGCCCGCCACTGTCGCATCGCATGCAGCGATCGGCAAGCTGCGCACTCCAAACAACTGTGTTGATCCGCGGGTCGAGAGCGCACCTCTTCCGGTCGAAGCTAGGCGGGCCGCGCGAGGCTTGACTTAGGCAGAGAAGAGGAGGGAGGACGCGCACCGCGCACCCCAAACGAGCCACTCCCGCGGGGCTCCGCGGCCCTCGCGCCGTGGCTCGGGCCTCCCGCGGCCGCTCGCTGGAGCGCCTCCCGAGGCCCCCTCCGCGAGCCGACGGGCACTCGCGAAGACTCCGAGTGCCCAGGGCCACTCCTGCGCGTGGCCCCCGCCGCCGCTCCGGCGGCGGCCCCGCGCGGGCTTCGGCGAGGGGAGGAGGCGCGCGCGGCCGGTGGCAGCAGGAGGGGAGGGGCAGGGCGCAGGGGTGAGTCACTGGCAGGCGTCGGCCTGCTGGCTTGGCGTGCGGCGGGAGGAGGGCGGGCTAGGCGGGTTGGAGGAGGGGGAGGAGGGGGGAGGAGGGGGGAGGAAGGAGGAGGAGGAGGAGGAGGAGGAGGAGGAGGAGGAGGAGGAGGAGGAGGAGGAGGAGGAGGAGGAGGAGGAGGAGGAGAGGGGAGGAGGAGGAGGAGGGGGAGGAGGAGGAGGAGGAGGAGGGGGAGGAGGAGGAGGAGGAGGAGGAGGAGGAGGAGGAGAAGAAGGAGGAGGAGGGGGGAGGACAAGCTAGGTGCGCTCGCGTCAGATCTGACATCCTGCCCCTCCCTCCTTGCCATGGCGCAGATCCCCTCTCTTCCTGCACAGTCAGATGTCAAGCAGGGCGATGATCCCGAAAGGGTACGCGATGCATTGTAGAACACGACATGGCATGGCGTAGAAGAGCACCGCGAAGCGTAGTATCAACCTAGCATTGCATTGCATGCCGTGGCATGGCACGCGAAATGACGCCAGCGCTGCAGCGGGAGCACGAGTCGAAACGAGCGGAAACGCGGAAATGAGGCCAGCGCTGCAGCGGGAGCACGATTCGGAACGAGCGGAAGCACGGAAATGAGGCCAGCGCTGCAGCGAGAGCACGATTCGGAACGCGCGGGGCCCGAAAATGAGGCCGGCGCCTCAGCGAGAGCAGCATTTTGGGAAAAATGGCAAGCGAAAGCCCAACTCCGGGGAAGGCTTCCCGCGCGCCAGAAGCAGAAATTCAGCATTTTCAAAAGAAATATTTGTATTGGAATGGCCTTTTTTCGGCGCCGCCTTGGAACTCGATTTTCCGGCGCCGGCCGGAACCGGCTCCGGACCCGGCCCAGGCGCCGGCCTGGGCGCCGGCTCGGGCGGCCGCGGCCCGGGCGCCGGCTCGGGCGCCGGCCTGGGCGTCGGAATCGGCCTGGGAGACCTCCCAGGCGCCCGGGCGCCGGAAGCAGAAATTCAGCATTTTCAAAAGAAAATGTGCATTAGAATGGCCTTTTTTCGGCGCCGCCTCGGAACTCGATTTTCCGGCGCCGGCCGGAACCGGCTCCGGACCCGGCCCGAGCGCTGGCCCCGGCGCCGGCTCGGGCGTGCAGCCCGGGCGCCGGCGGAAATGATGCCAGCGCTGCAGCGGGAGCACGATTCGGAACGAGCGGGGCCCGAAAATGAGGCCGGCGCCTCAGCGCAGCATTTTGGGAAAAAGTGCCAGCGAAAACCCAACTCCGGGGAAACCTGTGTGTAAAAATACAATACGCGGGGGGGGGGGGGGGGG